TTATATATATTTTGTTGTTGTTCTTTTAAGATAGAGTCTCATGTAACCCAAGGTAGTCTAGACTTTACCACAGGGCTGAGGCAGATCATAAACTGATCTTCCTGCCTCTCTCCCTCCTGAGCGGACAATGACAATTACCACACTTCATTCACGCATAGTTTTGTTTTTTTTTAAGGGCAAACTGAAGGCAATGCCTAGGGCTTACGGTCCTTTAAGTTTGTAACATTAGACCTCTCTTACTTGCTACCTCATTAAGCACTCTGATTTCTCAAAAGCTTCCCCCTATTTCTACATACTCTGGCTCTATCAGAAACCCTCCAGAGCCAGGTATGGTGGCACACACCTTTAATCCTAGCACTGGAGAGGCAGAGGCAGCCAGATCTCTGTGAGTTCAATGCCAGCCTGGTCTCCAGAGAGGGTTTCAGGGCAGCCAAGGTTATATAGTGAGACCTTGTCTCAAAATAAACAAACAAAGATTATCTTATAAATAACACTTCAGTGAACAAATCTGTCACTTTCATACACCCACAGATTTCTATAAACCTCAAGTTGTTATGCACTCCATGAAACAACCCTAAGATCCATTACCTGAACATTTAAGTGAGCAATGAGCTTTTCATTGGTTTTATTTCTAGTCTCCAGAGACAGGACATCCGGGGAACGACCGCCATCCAAAGCAAGCGACAGTCGTTCTATTTCTCGTTCTCTTAGTTCAATCTGAGAACAGAAAGTTACGCTTTCAGTTGATAAAGTCTCATTAGAAAGCGAATCCTTAACTGCACACTCATTCAGACACTCTTTACTAACGTCCCGGCAGTGCACATATCAGCCAGCATTTATACAGGAACCCACACATGTACAAAACACAGGGCAGAGCAATGCAAGAGTTCAACATAGCGCTCAATTATGGAACTGATTCTAATTGAATTTTTAGTTTGTTTCTCTCCTTTAAAATTAGGCAGTTGTTTATATGAAGAGAAATGTCTTGGCAGACTATACACATGTTCGAGTACTGGATACGTCTCGAACTGCAGTGCTTGGCAGAATGAGTGACTATGTGAATGAAGGGGAAAGACCAAAAACGGAGTTGCTATCTAATTCAGTATTAAAAGGGATATGAAAATAGAGTGAATTTAATTATTATTTACGTTTAATCAAAGGACTAGTATCAGCCATATGCTGACACTAATTCACATGCAAGAATTAGAAAAATTGCATGCAGGTACACACACTTTTTTGCTTTCTTTTTCCCCAAAACAGAGGGGGGAACAAACAATTCCTCTCAATAATTACTGGATACACAGTGATCTGTGTAAGGATGAGACAATTGGCTCTGACTTTCAAGAACAGAGAACTTCACAGGGAAAGCTGGCAAGCATCTGAATAGTGACTGGCTCAGGGACATCCAGGGAAGAGTGAAGGAAATACTGTTACAACATCACCAACACTTAAGGGGATACAGCGACCCACTCTGCACCCTGTGCCTATTACATACCGAAGGCCTTGCTAATACAGAATGTCCACACAAGGTCATAGCAATCCTGTACTGAGAAAAGAGTGCCCCCAGGCAGGATGGACCAAAGCACAGAATCATGGGAAACAGCTGAGGCAGCAGAAATGGCTCAGCATGACTGGACCATAACGTGCAAGGAAGCTCACTGCTGGGGAGGAGTGTGAGGAATGGAGCATTGATCCAGAACAGCCTCTGCCCATTAAGTCTCAGGAGCCCCCGAGTACAAATATTACTATTTAACAGCACAAACAGGAAGCTGAAACAAGGAGACAGCCTGAGAAAGTGCTGATGGCATCAGGAGAGGTTGGGGACAGCAGAATACAGGGTGCTGGTGTGTGCTGGTATTGCTTTCTGTCCAGGGCTTTGAGCATGCTCAGTGAGTGCCTACCACTGAGCTCAGCCCCTAGCCCTCACAACCTGGAACACATTCTGAGAAAAACAAACTCAAGCAGAAAGAATCGCTAGCAGAGAGGACTCAACTACGACAGGCAGAGTGTACGGGGTGCTTTAATCAGAATGGCCGAGCAATATCCTCCACAATACTTCAGTCACCTCAGATGCAAGGTCTGGGGAGTTTATGCTCATAAAGGAGTTGGGGGATGTGGTTATAAACTGAAAAATAGTAATGACATTCAGTATGTGCACTTTGTCTTTTTCTGCTATGTTGAGAATTCAGCCCAGCACTTTATGCTAGCCCCTTACCTCTGAGCTCCAACTCAGTGTAAATACCTGACACTTTAGTGCAGTGGTTCTCAGTCTTCCTAATGCTGTGACCCTTTATAATACAGCTCCTCATGCACGGTGACCCCAGCCATAAAATCAGTGCATTGCTACTTCATAACTGTAATTCTGCTGTTATGAATCATAGCACAGGTATCTGATATGCAGGATATCTGATATGTGACCCCAAAGGGTCAAGAATTGCTGCTTTTTAGTGTCTTCGCAAAAGTGTTTTTGGCTGGTTTTTGGTTTTGTTTTTTGGTTTGATGATATTAAAATTTCCTTTAACTCCTTTCTAATCTAAATAATTTTCAAAGTACTTTACAAACTAGGAGTTATACAACATACTAGGTACATATAGAATTATATGTACAGATTATACAGCCACATACATGAAAAACATGTTACCAAGTTTAAACTCCAGTGAGCACAGTAAGTAACAAAGTATGCTGGCCAGCTAAGCCATGAAGTTTGCAGACAAATGGATGGAACTAGAAAATATCATCCTGAGTAAGGTAACCCAGACCCAAAAGGACAAGCGTGCTATGTACTCACTGAAAGTGGGTATTAGCCAAAAAGTTCAGAATACCCATGATACAACTCACAGATGGTAGGAAGCTTAACAAGAAGGAAGGCCCAAGTGAGGATGCTTCAATCCCACTTACAAAGGGGAACAGAGGGACCAGGAGGAAAGGGGAACAAGATCAGGCATGGGAGGAGACAGGAGAGACACCCAGAGTGGTCAGGAGAATGAATGGAAATATGCAGCTGCAGGAGGTTGGGGCCAGGGAGACCTCTAGAAAGTCCCAGAGAACTGGGATGTGAGGGGCTCCCAGGACTCAGTGGGGATGACCTCAGCCAAAATGCCCAACAGTGGAGAGATGGAACCTGAAGAGACCACCTCCAGTAGACAGACAGGTCCCCAGTGGAGGGGTGAGGTCACTATCTACCTTCAACATTTTTGACCCAGAATTGTTCCTGACTAAAAGAAATACAAGGTCAAAAATGGAGCAGAGATTGAAGGAAAGGCCATCCAGGGACCGGCCCAACTTGGGATCCATCCCGTGGGCAGCCACAAAACCTGACACTATTACTGATGCCATGTTGTACTTACAGACAGGAGCCTAGCATGGCTGTCCTCTGAGAAGCTCTACCAGCAGCTGACTGAGACAGATGCAGATACTTACAGCTAACCGTTGGACTGAGGTCAGGGACCCTTATGGAAGAGTTAGGGGAAGGACTAAAGGAGCTGAAGGGGACTGCAATCCCACATGAAGACCAAGAGTGTCAACTAAGATGGATCCCTGGGAACTCCCAGAGACTAAGCCACCAACCAAAGAGCATCCATGGGCTGGTCCCCGGTCCCCGGTACATATGCAGCAGTGGACTGCTTTGTGTGACCTCAGTGGGAGAGGACGTGCTTAACTGTGTAGAGACTTGATTCCTCAAGGGAAGGGAACAGGGGAGTGGGGTGATCTGGGGGTGAGTGGGTGGGTGAGGAGAGTGGGAGGGTGGGGTGTGGAGCACCCTCTCAGAGACAAGGGGAAGGGGGTGAAGAACCCTTGGAGGGGGGATGGGAAGAGGAGCAACATTTGGAATGTAGATGAATGAAATGACAATACAATTAAAGACACCAACAGGAAGGGCAAGAGCAGAGCTCGCTGGAGCTATGATCTAACACTGTATCTGCTGAGCTCAGGCTTCTCAGACAACTACAATGCTGCAGTGATGACCTCTAGAGGAGCCACACTGAAGACGGCAGCCCAGAAGAGGAACTTTCAAAGACTTATATCCAAAGTAAAAAAATAAATAAATAAAATAATAATACAATTATTTTCTTTTATGTTTTTAAAAATGATTTATTGATACATTCTGTGTGTGCATGTCATAAGTGGAGGTCAGAGGATAACTTTAAGAGTCGGCTCTCTCCCTCCACCATGTGGGTCCTGGAGATCGAACTCAGGTCCTCAGGCCTGGTTGCAAGCACCTCTACCGGCTGAGCCATCTTGTTGGCCCTCCTAACAAATATAATTATAAAACAAATAAAATTATAAAAGTATGTTGTTATACTTCAGTAAAATTATTCTTGAAATGAACATAGCACTTACAATTTTTATTTGGGGAAAATTTCTTACTTAGGGAGAGAGATGATTTAAAAAAAGAAAAACTAAAATCACTGCTCACCTCAGTGAATAATAAGGGAATGGACCAGTACTGGAGAGCTACTTCACCTCACTCAACTAACAAGCTTTTGGAAAAGAAAGAGGCTGCACTTCAAACTAGGACTCTGTAACATCAAGCATACGACTACTTTGGCCTCGAGGGATCAGAGCACACGCATCCCCACCCATGCCACAGAGGGAAAGCCCACCTGCCTGCTGTAGTCTTGCACGCCTTTCTCCATCTCTGCCAGCTTCTCTTGCAGCTGGCGGACTTCCTCCTGCAGCTCCTGAATCCTGAAACATGCACACTAATGTCAGCATGTGTGACAGAGACAAGACACCACAAAGGTACATCAAAGAGATGCTGTTGCAGGAGGGCCGCAGGGCTGTGCTCAAGGGTCCCAGTGTCTCAGCACGCACACAGTACATCGTCTTGGAGAGCTAATTTTACATGAGCAGATATCAAAATTGAGAGGCAAGGGATTTGAAACTCACATACATCATGCAATAAAACAGCTTGTTGGTCCACTGGGTCCTTAGAACAACTCTGAGATACAGCTACCAAGTCTTAGGTTCAGGAAACTGAAAATCCAGTTCAAAATTCACAACACCACTAAGTGAAATAGGGTGTTTTCGGACCCTAACCAACCCTGTGTTACCTATAAACTACTTTATACTTCTGGAGAGCAAAGAATTGAGAAAACCACAATGTTCTAAGTGACCTCAGTAAAGCCTACTTTTCCTAGAACCTGTAAGTTCTAATAGAATCAAGACTTTGTCCGAGTCATCTGAACTCTACATGGATCCTATCGGCTTGGTATGGCATAACCCACTTTTGGCTAGAAAAGCCTAAAGCAGGTCTGCTTTGAAGACAAATTGTCTGTGAGCTGCAATAAGTAGGTTGCAGAGAGCTCATCCCAACTCTTACCAAAGCCAAAGGGTCTACTACTCTAAGCTAAGAATAAAAGCAGGCATGCAGGCATGCAACACCAATGCAGAAGAGACGGTGTGCGAATGTGTGTGTGTGTGCACGCACACACCAAAGCATACAGAATAAAACACCCTATTTCACCACTGTTTCATAGACTGATGGCACTTCTATAGTGTAAACGATTCTCTACATAACAACATCAGGCTACGATTGTGTGAGCCCCCCTCAGATGAGCAACACACCAAAGGTCAAGGTAGCCACATAAACACAGGCACGTAATACCATGAGAGACTAATGCACTGTTAGATACTGTGACTGGTTGAACATCTCCTCTCTGTCCTTTACAGGAACCACAAGGTCCTTATGAACTATCTCCCTGTGTGCCCCACACGTTGGATACCTTGTCCAATATCACTTGCCCTCTTCCCTAAATGTCCATAACTCTCTTAGTGACATCTGGACTGCAAGCGTTTCCAATCAGCAGCAGCCTCTTACTCTGATGGTCTCAGGGCACTTGCTCAGGGTCCTGCCTGGAGGCCTGATGAACATTTAATAAAATGGAACCCATAGCTAAGTCTGATTTATATTTAAGGAAATATAAATACAAGGCTAAAGAATTCCTAAGAACTTCAGATCATGTTAGGACGCTATCACGTCCAGCTGGCGTTCTGCTATATCTGAAGCAGGAGAGACTCCAGCAAGATAACCTACTTAGAGATGAAAGTAAATGTCAAAGTGACCCTACTGAAATGGGTTCTTCTTGTTTGTTTACATCCTCCCTCTCTCTCTCTCTCTCTCTCTCTCCATATATACATATACATATACATATACATATACATATACACACACACACACACACTATTTTATTTACATTTCAAATGTTATCTCCTTTCCAGGTTTCCCCCCAGAAACCCCTATCCTATCTCCCTGCTTGCTTCCATGAGGGTGCTCTCCCACCCACCCACCTCCCCACCCTGGCATTCCCCTATACTGGGGCATCGAGCCTTCACAGGACCAAGGGCGCCTGACAAGGCCATCCTCTGTCACATATGTGGCTGGAGCCATGGGTCCCCCGTGTGTACTCTTTGGTTGATGCTTTAGTCCTTGGGAGCTCTGGGGAGTCTGGTTGGTTGATATTATTGTTCTTCCTATGGGGTTGCAAACCCCTTCAGCTCCTTCAGTCCTTTCTCTAACTCCTCCATAGGGAACCCCATGTTCAGTCCAATAGTTAGCTGTGAGCATCCACCTCTGTATTTGTCAGGCTCTGGCAGAGCCTCTCAGGAGACAGCTATATCTTCTTAACAGCAGTAAGTTATTTTAGAGCAAATATGGGCAGAAACCTCAGATACATGACTTATTTGAAATCACAGTTTTTAAACAAGTTAAAAAAAAAAAATTCCAGGGCTGGAGAGATGGCTCAGTGGTTAAGAGCACTGACTGCGCTTTCAGAGGTCCTGAGTTCAATTCTCAGCAACTACATGGTGGCTCACAACCATCTGCAATGAGGTCTGATGCCCTCTTCTGATATATCTGAAGAGAGCAATGATGTACTCATATACATAAAATAAATAAATACATCTTTTAAAAAACAATTCCAAATCATTCTCAAAATACCTATTGAGTATCGATGCAAAGTTCTGTGCTAGGCACGGGGACACAACAATCGACAAACTCGAACCTTCCCACCATACACCTTATAATACAACAGTGATCACGTGATCAATCAAGCCAACAAAGATGAAGATGGTGATGAGATGATGATGAAGATGATCCCGCCACTCTTGGTGTTAGGGATTGAGCTCAGGTCCTCAGGCATGCTAAGCATACCTCTCCCACTCCCAGCCTCAGCAGAGGAAGTAGCTCACACACCTGTTGTCAGCCACCTGCAGGAGGTCTGCAATGTACGGGTCTTCTGGTTGAGGAACTGGGTATGAGCTGACTTCCGACGGTGGGGCTGGTTCATCGATTTGCATCCGCTGGCGCCTAAATGCAATGTTTCTTTTTTTGCCACCTAAGAAAGCAGAAACAGATGCATGGCATAAGGACAAAGGACAAGCAGAACACCTTTCTAGGTGCTAAGCAGCACAAGCTAAGCTTTTAGAAAGTGGGCTCATCTGTGACTGAAAAATGTATTTCTGAAACATCTAATAAGTCAAGGTTATAAAATAAGCTTTCTGTACCTGCAGACTAGCCATATGCATAGTTTAAACTGTCCCTCGGCTAGATTAGATTCTGGCAGGACTAAAAGCTGAGTGTGCCCTGCAGTGGTCAGGGTTGTGTGCTAATGTACCACTGTCAGCCAAGGAGCGCTGACAGCAAGACTATAAGACACACACACTTAGGAAGCACTGTCAAAAGAACAGAGAACTGGGGGCTGGGAGACTGCTCAAATGGTAGAGTGCTTGCTGCTCAAGCAGGAGGACCTGTGCTCAGGCCCCGGCAACCACGTGTTGGTACCATGCCTATAATCCCAGCACCAGAGAGGAGGGGACAAGATTCCTGAACCTGCTGGACAGCACGTCTACCTTACTAGGCAAGCTCAAGACTCAGTGAGAAACCTTGTATCAAAAAAATCCAGTGAAAGCGATAGAAGAAGAAATTGGGAGTTGACTTCTGGCTTACATGTGCACATACACACACGGGGGACGGGGGGAAGACAGGGAATAGGGAGGGAGGGAGAGAGAGTGGATAACTTAAACTCTAAAGAGCAAAACTAAATTTAAGAGGATGTCACCTATAATGCTATAATCTGAATTAGTAGTGAACATCTTTGTAGGTAGCAGGAACGCTTTAAATGGGTAGATAGTCTTGGAGTGGTATAAAACTCCTGGCCCGTTTACTTTCTCAGCAGCTGGTAAGACTAGAGGTATACTTTCTAAATTAATAGATTCTCACGAAAAATAGGTATAGCTCACAGTTCTGTATCCACGACCACTTTAACCAACTTGGTTTAAGAAGGAAACCGAAGAGTTACCAGGAGTCTGTACTACAGCACGCAGATTCTTCTCTTGAAGCTGTTGGATTTTCTCATCCTTAGCCTTGCTGTCTTTCTCCAGGAGTCGGACCTTGTGAACATACTGGTTATTCAGAAACTTCAGATCAGCCGTCTCACGCGCACACTTCTTCAATGTGATTTTCAAGTCTTAAAGTGAGGAAGATGAAAACAGCTCTAAGGCTCAGGCCATCCACAGGGACTTGACAGACACCACCGAGCCTTACACACACTCTGTGTGAAGCCAAAGTCACTGCCCGACACTAACAAATCTGCACATAACCCACTAAGCACAGAAAGAGACTTTGGGTTTTTTTTTTTTTTCATTATTACTGTATACACCCAATGTGTACCATGGCTTTGATCTAGTAAGTTAGATTTAAGCTAAAGAATTTTGAAAATAAAATTTATAGTAAGATAACCAAATAATTCCCCGTTACCTTTGGAATCTACTGCCTGGCCCTAACACTGCTCAGTAACTGACACATGGCCCTCACTTCTTTACTTTATATTTGAGAAAACATCTTCTGTTCTGCCGTCTAATATTCTCTAGAATTACTAACTAAAAAGCATAATCCACATATACTGCACATTATCGTAGCTATGGAATGGTCATTTATTTTCACTCTCTAGCTACAGTTCAATGCACTGTATTTAGGAAGCTGTGAGCAGGACAGTCATTTTTCATATCAAGTATCTTAAAGGGATGTTAGCCTTTTCCACTTACAAAACAAAGAGGGCAAGGACCCTTCACTGAGAAGCATCATCATCACGTCCCACGTACCTTTAATGTGCTTGTCTGAGTGTTCTCTGAGCTTCATTAACTCCAGATACAATTCATTATTCTCCTTATTCAGCCTTGTATTTTCAAGTTTGTAAGGTTCCAAAACAAAGTCGAAATTGGCACTTTCCTTTTCTGCCTTTACCGAGGATAGCCTGCACTGCCGCAGGCTTTCGGTCGTATGAACTAAATCACTAAAGGTGAGAGAGGAAACACAACCGCAAGCACATGTTCCATGAGTCTTTTAGTAACTTAAAATACATTTCTAAAAAGGGTTAAATATGATGTTAGTGTTAAATAGTATAAAACTTAGCAGAAGAATGAACAGTAGGGTTCTGTCAAGGTATCAAAGGGTCTTCAAGTTTCTCAAAACAGGCCTAACTATAAGTTATAAAATACAAACACATCAAACTGTTGTTTAGTTGATTGGTCCTTCAGTTCTGAAGGTAATTTCATCGATAATTTTACCTTCGATTTAAAAATCCCTCAACAAAATGAGTTACCATGCCCAAGCGCTGTTCACTCTCCCCTCTTGCTCTGTCTCCAGACTGGTGGAGTCTGTGAAACTAGCTTTTCATTGAGTAAATATGGACTGACTGTGTGCTATATGCTACCTCCAGGAAGGCACAAACCAGAAACACTCTCTTACCTCTCAGAAAAATAGTTCAATAAAATGCAACACCCACTAAATGTTTCATGAGAAGAAAACACACACACAAATGCACTTACTAACGAAGAACTTACAATCTACAGACAGTTGTCAGAGACATCATGGAACATGATAAAGCAAACATTTCTGTGCTCATCAGATGAGCAATCTATAGCAGCTGTAGGTGAACATGGCAGTCCTAGGCCGTTTGCAATGCAAGGACGACACCAAGACGTCAAGGATGATGCGCGGTGACTGTAAAATGCTGTGCCTGTCCTACACAGCGCAGAGAGTGAGAAGGTGCCTACAGGCAGGACAGAAAGGGAGAGGGAGCTACAAGCAGAGGGAGCAGTGCACAGACAGCAAGGCTGAGTACACGGAACATTGCAGAGTGTCACGTGACTCAGCACGCAGGAGCTGAAGCTTCAGGATCCAAAGGGATCGGGTCATGAGAGGTCTGGGGGCTCAAATCAAAGACCACACGTTATCTTTATCCATCCTCTGCTTTCTATCAGCATCTCTTGTAGTCCTACTAACCAGCCTTCTTAAACACCCGCTCCAATCTCAAAGAGCCTTTCCGTTAAGGGGAGATGTGACAGTATTAACACCAAGTTAGAGCGCAGTTCTAGACTAGCAGAAATTAAAGACCAGCTCGGCAGACAGACTGTAAGGGGAAAGCTGCGTGGGAAAGCTCAATGATAGAGCGCCTGCCAAGCACACTCAAGGCTGTGTAGTCCTCACCACTGTAAAAGGATGACAGCACATGACAGGCCAGAGATGGCAGGGAGCACCTCTGACCTCTACCAGAAACCTCAGAGTGTGATTCCCTTCAGGAAAACTCTCAGAAATGGTGGCTCGGAAAGGCACAATGGGTACCGTGATTCCTAGCACCCTGCACCACACAGGCCCTCTTTTGAGGGCCAGGCTTAGGACTGAAGAGAGAACAGACAGACCTCAGATGACTTCTGCAAAATCCACTAGCTGCTAACCATGAAAAGAAGGTCAGCCATGAACTCGGTAAGTGAATTAAGGATTACATACATTTATAACTATATTTTCATCTTTACCTGAAAAGCTTTTCTACCAAGGGCAGGCTGTCCACTGACAGGGTCTGGCGGTAGCCCAGCTGGTCTAACCTCTTCCTAATGTTAATATACTTTCTCTCTGCAGCTGTAGTCATCTTGCTTTCAAAACCAGTTTTAGTCACACTCCAAATTTAAAGCCCTGAAAGAGAGGATTAACACAAGCCGTGAAACATAACTTTAATACCCAACAATCATTTGGTTTCTTTTCAGGTAGTCAGTGTTCTATAATTCTAACACTGATTTAAATCCAACACATATGATCTCCATATTGCTTCATTACAACATGTGTTTCCTCATAAACCTGAATGTAAAAGTTAAAACAACAAAAATTCTGGAAGGAAACAAAGATTTTTCCGGAGGCAGGCAAGGGATCCTTGAAATTCCACTTTCTTACAGAACTGTGGATGGCAGCCAAGCATCCGTCCATGCTGGGCACGTGCCCTACAGTGGGCTATGCCCACAGCCCATAGGGAATCCCCTAGTGACAGTAAACATAAAAGAAAAATATGCTAAGCAGGACTTCATAAAAGTGGAAAACATCAACTCATCAAAAAAACTCTAAGGAAAATATAAAGGCATGGCTGTCAGGTGGCTTAATGGTAGTTCTGTCTTAGTATTGTGAAGCTCTGGATTTGATCTCTGGTAACATTAAGAATGAGGAATTGGGGGTGAGGGGGATAAAAATCAGAGTAGCGGAAAATATTCACAAGATCTAAGAAAATATTTACATACTGAATAGAAAATAAACACAACAATCCAATAAGAAAATCGGAGCTAGATCTGGCAGGGAGGCACATGACTCGAATCTCTGCATTTAGGAGGCAGACGCAGGGAATCTGCCCTCAATTTGAAAACAGCCTGTAACTCCTAGGCCCAGGGATACATAGTGAGACCCAGTTTCAAACTACACCTTTAAATTGTATTAAAACTAAATTTTAGTTCTACAAAAATTTGAATAGACACCTTGGAAAAGATCTCTCGAGAGAAATATATGAAAAGATGCTTAACATTATTTTCCTTAACGTGCATTTTCCTGGTGTTAAGCACCAGGAATATAAAAAAAAAAAAAAGGACTGACAATGCCCAAGGGCAGCAAAGGCTCCTGGGCAAATGAAATTCACACATCACTCAGAGAGTAGAAAACCACTGTGAAATGGGCAGTTTCTCCGAGTGAAATACACTCCTAGCCGATAACACCATAATTCTATTCCTACATTTTTACAAAAGAAAATGGACACAAATATCTACAAGGAGACAACAGCAGTTGTACTCATAAATGTATAGACCTGGAAAGGGCATGAACAAGCTATCATAGCCTATACCTCGTAGCATGACTCAGATAAGAGGCAAGAAGCTGCCAATATCTTCTGACATCATGGAGGATTCCCAAAGGACTATGCAGGCAAAAGAAGCCAGACACACATTCTATGTGACTGCATTCATGAGAAGCTCGGAAATAGGTAAAAACAGACACTTATGCAAAGTGTTTAAATGCACACTCAAGGTCTGTGTATCTCACTATGTCAATTTCACTCCCATACTGGTCCTTTTAATTGTTTTGAGACAAAGTCCTTATAATGTCCTGACTGGTCCAGAACCCCCTCTGTAGACTAAGTGGCCTCAAACTTTTCTTCGGCCTGTACCTTTGAGTGCTATGAGTACAGTGTGTACCACCATGCCTAACTTTACTTCCTTTTGCACATATAAGTGTCTCAGTATATATTTTTACGCTTGTCTATTTTGTTTGTTTACAGTGTTCGGGATTAAATGCTGAGCCTATGACATGCTAAGCAAGCACTCTGTTACTGGGCTATACCTCCAGCTACTAAACTTGTCTTCTTAAACACCTAAGACTATTATTATCTCTAGCAATCTGCCCTAAAGCTGAGCTATGCAAAGATCATTTCTAACCTCTGCCAAGTAATTGTAGCCATAGAACTCATATTTCTAAGTCAAATAAAATTATGTTCTTTAAATAAATAAATAAATAATACATTCTTCATCACTAGTAAAAGTTGTAAGCGCACATAAATGAATACATGGAAAATCTGATGCGTCGAATGTCCAGTTTGGGATAAAGTACCAATGGCACCGTTCCTACTAAAGCATAAAGCAAAGATGGCTGTCCCAAGAAAATAACTTCCCCAACCACAGGACTACTTCTAAATTAGTGCCTCTTCTTGATTATTCCCGTTAACAAATCTAGGATCTTCATTGAAAAGCTTCCCCCGGGCCTTTCTAGGTCCTTTCACAAAAGGGGCTTGACTGATGCCGGGTGTTTTAGAAAAACTCCTGTGGTCACAAGAAAAACACCTGACAAAGATAGATTAGCAGGGCAAACTCCAAGAAACATGTCCCCTCTTTGACAGCTGCCACCTCCGGGTACCAGGGAACCATCTCTCTCCATCCTTCATGAAGACAGAATGAGAATACGAATCAAAATACCATAGGCCATAATAAGCAAAGTCCTCGTGGGGTGGGGTGTGGGGTCAGGGGGAGGATATGTACATATTAGGGTTTCCCTATATTCCGGACGACAACCTTTAAATCAAAACAACCGAGAAGGGTAGGGTCCGCACTTACAACTAGCTGTCTACTAAACCTCGGCGCGTTGTCGTCTCAAAGCGGGCACCTTTTACTTTTACAGAAATATCTAACCTGAGGATGCAGAAGCGTTTAAAAAACAAACACCAGAGTGCGGGCACCGCAAAGCGCACGGCCCGGGGCGGCCAAGCAGTCCTTCCCCGGCTCAGCCTGGAAGGTGGAACCGCAGTTCTCCCCGGGTCGGCCCCGGCAGCACGGACGGACGGACAGACGGACGGTGGGACGGTCCCCGCGCCGCCCTCCCCCACTTCCTCCCAGCAGCGCCCGGGCCTCCCTCCCTCGGGGCTGGGGGTGGGGACCGTCCCGGAGGCCCCGCGACCCCGCCCGACCCTGCGGCCTCCCCGGGCGCGCCTCACCGCCACTCCCGTCGCCGCTCCGTCGCAGCGCACATCGCCCTCAGGACCCGCCGTCCTCGCTGGTTCGTCCCGCTGCGGCCAATGGCTCCGGCACGAGCGCAGTTTGAAAATGGCGCGGAGAGACGGTCGCGGCCCACAAGGAAGGAGCGCCGCGGTTGCCCCGGTAACAGACCGGAGCGGCCCACAGTGGCGGCGCGCGCGCCGGGCGGAGATGGCGGCTTTCGGCCTCGGTGCCCGGAAACGTAACGGCCGGCCGATGCGAGGCCACGGCGCCCCCTGGCGGGCAGCCCGAACCTCTGCGGTGCCCGAGGACCTTGTCAACTGGCCGCTGGCGGTAACCATCGCTGCGCTCCAGTCTCCGGCCCTCCAGAGAAATGACCTTTCACTGGTGAATTCCTACTGATCGCCCAGTCTTCCCCCGGACACCACTGTCCTGCAGCTTCTCCTACCTATTAACAGTTTTTGCCCGTACCCTTGTAAACCCCCAGAATAGAATACAACCACCAAAAGGCAGTTGTTTATGTATCTCGCTGCTGCATCCAGTTGTGGGCTCCTTGAATCAAATATTATTTTATTCAATTGTAATTCTCTACCATCTATCACAATATTTGTGTTAAGTCGAAATACATTGCTTACCATAGCCTTCTCATGGATAGAAAGACCATGGTCAAATCGCCAGAGTTCACCACTCCCCTAAAAACTTTCTAGATGGTTAAGAGCTGAGTTTTTTTTTTTTTTTTTTTTTTTTGTTATTTGTGTCTCTTATATTCCTTACCAAGCTGGCTTTTCCTCTGAAAAGGTACGTTGTCGTTGCATAGCATGGAAATGTATGCTGGGATGTGAATCGCCTTGTGCCAGTTCATTCTTTGCTCTCACTTCTCCATTTTGTGTGCATTGTCTGTTTTTAAATGAAATTTTAAAGAAGCTAATGAATTGAATTCTGTAGAGATTTTTTTATACCATCTTGCACATATACAAGTAGCATACTTTTAAAATTTTTTGTAAAGACAAATATCTTTTTTTAAAAAAAGAAGCCATAAGTATCAGAAATTGGTTGTACAGTAACCATCTAGTGAAGATAAGTTGTTGGCCTCCCTTACCCCAAACACACACCAATTAAATGTTAGAACAAAACTCAATGAAGAAATGCAAAGGGGTAAGTGGATTGAAAGCCACAGTTAACCTTTGTTCCGAGTGGCATTGATAACCCAGAGTCAGGTTCACTGCTGACCTCCGAGGCCTAAGGTCAGGGGTCCCAACACACAAAACTTGAAAGATGAGAATGCAGAATGCTGCTGCTTACCACCCAAGTCCTAGAGCTTTAAGCGAACTGCATGGCTGTGGAGGCAGGAAGGAAAAGAAAGAAATGCCCTCACAACAGAAAGTGAGCCCGATGCCTGGGCTTTGTAGACTTACTATCAGCACAAACAGGAGTCCCTGAAACGCTCTAATGAAGTTTACCTAGGGGCTGGCGGGAATCCTAACTGTAGGAAGAAAGTCAGGTGTATAGGTAAAAGAGTTACTGTCACTGAAAACCGATGCTGTGGTTTAGATCTGGTCTGGAATGCAGTGGTCTGAATGAGAATGCCATAGGTTCATATACTTGAATAGCATGATCCCCAGTTGGTGGAACTGTCTGGGAAGGATTAGGAGGTGTGGCCCTGCTGGACAAAGTGTGTCACTGAGGATATGATGGCTAACGTTATATTGATGGCTAACCTTTAAAGTTTAAAACTGTGCTTGAGAGAACTAGAAAGCAAAAATGAACTTCCAAAGGTTAAGACCTGTTAAGGGTTAGATTTTAAAATTACCTGGTTTTGCACTTTAACAAAACTACTGTTTCTGCTTTGTAAACAAAAGCTTGCTTTACATGAGATGGCCTTCTGCTGGCACACAGACGAAGCATAACCTGTGCTCTTTGCCTTTATAAGTCCCCAACTGAGGTGGCTGGAGGCTGTGCTGCATTCCAGAGTTCCCAGTTAGCTCTATCTTTTTGGAGCCTGTGGATCTAGATGTGGGCTCTCAGCTACTGATCTAGCACCATGCCTGCCTGCCTGCTCGCCTGCTGAGATGCTCCCTGTCATGATGGTCATGGAGGACTGTAACTCTCTCAAGTTGTCTTGATCATGGTGTCTTAGTACTGTGATAGAAAGGTAACTGAGCCAAATATCTTCCAAAGGCCTGTGTGCCATGACTTGGTCTTCAGCATGGGACTATTGAGAGGCAGCAGATACTTTAAGAAATAGTTTAGTGGAAGGAAGCTAGGTCACCTAGGGTCTGCCATTGCAGGGAGAGGGAGGAGGAGAGGATATTGTAATCTCTGCCTCTTTCAGTCTCTTTTCTTCTTGGCTATCATGAGGCAAACCGTTGTATTGTACCATGTGCTACAGCCATGACTGTTCCGCTTGGTCACAGGTCCAAAAGCAACAGAGCCAACCAACCACAGATGGAAGCCAGAAGCCCCAAAGAGGTGTTTGTGGCATTTTAATATAAAGTATTTTGTCATAGCGATGGAAAGTCAACACGATGAGCTTGCAAATCAGGATGTTGTGCAGGTAAAAAGAATGTAGTGGATACATTTTAAATGCTCTAGATCCAGGTTCCTCGGGCTCACCACTTTAACACTTAGATGACGATCCTTTTTGAGAGGCGTCTGACCCGAGTATTGTGGGATGTCTAGTCAGCTTCCTGGCTTCTCCACATTGGATGCTTACCGCAGCTTCCACTTCAGACATTGCTATAGTCACAGTGCCTTTAGGACTCCCAAATGTCCTCTGAGGGAAAACCTGAAACTGCTGGCTTTCCTACCCATGCTCAAGTTCCTGAAATTATGACTCTGAGACTTAATTATATATGAAAAATGCCTAGGACCAAAGCTTTGGCTCCCCACACTGTCCCTCAGCTCGTAACTCAGTTACCTCGTTTGTTCTAAGTTCTGTCACATGGTTATTACATTTCTTCAGGTTCATGTGGCCATATTCCTCAGAGTTCAGGGTGAATCTCACCCCCAACTGACTCTATCCCAGAATTCCAATCTCTACCTGATATCCTACCTTCTACTCACGCTTCAGCTCGTTGGCCAATCAGCTTTTTATTGACTGGTGGTGATGCGTCTACACAGAGCACAAGAGATTATCCCTGCATCTCCCCCTTTTAGTACAATAAAAGGCTCTTTCTCTTTCAATAATCAACTATAAACAATAATAGCAATTATAAAAACTATCAGGTAAGATTACATTGGCAATGTTTAGTCCATTTGTATTTGGCAACCCTGAAGAAAGTATTCTATTTAGTTCTATACCTAAATCGATTTCTATCATAACTCATTGTGAGACTGTGACCATCTAGTCTTCTACACCATCAGAGACCTGAGAAGAAATAAATATTACCTAGGTATACAGGAAGTTCAGGCAAGCAGCTTCCAAAACTATAGAAATAACAGAGATACTTGGCTGCCTGGACAGTCCCCCAAAATTTGTCTGAGTTGTTGGAGCATCATCTTCAGCCATCTGGCCAAGACTTTTCTGTGAAGCAGGAATTATGAAGGACTGCTTTGTCTTGGTAATGCTTGGCAGTGTACTTCCCTGTGTCTCATTTATCTAGTTTGGACAGCATATGGTCAGCAGTTTCTTGCCTAGTGGCTTAGCTTGCAAACTCCATATGGAGGTTCTTCAGTACTCATCATCTTCTTTGAAGTAGAATGGGGGTGCTGCCATGCCTTGTCAAAAATCCCTTTTGTTAATAAAATATCCTTAAATGCAATTTCTGTGGATCTCTGGTGTTTTTGAAGACCATCTATCTATAGTATATCTGGTTTGTTTCTAGCTATTTACTATCTGTTCAACTTTGAAAACATCTTACTGTAACTAACTAGACTAATATCTAACATAACCATGAATTTGATCATCTGACTACTAACTTGCATTTTTAATTATCCTAAAGTTGCAATAGCAGCCTTCAAGGACTAGATCTTCACTTTGCATAGGTTCAATACCTTAAACAAGAGTTGAAACATACATACATAATATTTTATGGCAAACTATAATTCTAAATCTGTAGAGATGTACAAAGTCCATACCACTGTAAAAAGAGTTGCCTTGTTGATATTCTTTGGTCTAAAAGTAGGTTCAATAATCTACCCTTTTACCCTGTTATTTTGATATCTCCCTTTCTTTCTCTCCAACCCTTATCCCTCTTTTCCCCTTAGCATAAGAAGACTGATAGAGGAAAGAAAAGCAAGGAATCCCTGAGTCTAACCTTTTTTTTTCTTCCTAAGACCATTAACAATTTGCAATCGCCCCCTTAAATGACAACAAACATCCATCACTGATTGAATGACCAAAAGTCATCCACCCCATCTCTTGGGAATAGGGCATTGTTTTCTTAAAATTGCTTCCTGCTGTCTGGAATCATTGTTTTCCTTTTTTTGGGAGGGGGGCACTAAGAAAATTGGGATATTGCGTAGTCTTAAGAAAGCTAGCTGTTACATTTGCTGTCCAGTCTCTATGTGCTGAGAAAGTTCAAGGCCTAACTGGAATCCTAGCTGGAACAGTCTGTGGTGCTGAATGATCTAGCTAGCTGTTTTGAAACTGTCCTGGATGTAGATGTTTGAGGAAACAGCATTTAGGCAGTCTGAGGTAGAATCAAGCAGGATGCTGGAATAGATATGTCTCAGCATATCATCCCTGAGGGTGAATCTTATCAGGGCCGTTTTAACTTCAGTACTGTCTGTAAACATAGACACTTTCACAATATACATTTCTGCATTAATATATGTATGG